GCGGGTCTGGGAGAGTCGAGGGCGCAGACGCAGAGCCACGGGAGCCCCGCCCAGAAATAGGCGCGAGGTGCCCACGGGGTCAGGTGCTCAGGGTGGCAGTTGGGGCGGGACCCGGCGGTTCTCCTCCTCCCGCTCCGTGCAGCCGCGCTCTGGGTGAGGCGGGCAGCTGCCGCCAGGCCCGCTGTGCCGGGGAGGACACTGCGGCACGACGGGGTCGAAGGGCAGAGGGCCAAGCTCATCGCGGAGGCCGGGCTGGCGTTGAGGGCGCTCCCTCATCAAGGTTCCCAGAATGGCTCTCTGCCCCCGGGGGCCTGGACCGCCAGGAGCTCACGGCCCGCTCTGAAGGCTGGACGCCCGGCCCCTCAGGGACGAGACGGGTGGTACGCACACGGGCCCCCCGGCCCCGCCTCGGGATGAGGCCAGAGTTGTAGACACAGCCTTCCCTGTGCTGCGTGATGTGGCCGGTCTTCCCGCCCCCACTCCCGCCACGCTGTCTCCTCACTGCCCCTGAAGCCACCCACGGGTCCTTTGCACCTGCTTCTCTGCTCGGGACACTCGCCCCAGACCTTCCAGGCTGCTCGGACCTCACCATGTCAGGGTTAGGGTTAGGATTAGCCTTTTCTTCCAGGCCCTTGACCCCCTTCTCACACCGTGTAGACAGTATGTACTTTTATTTTTATTGCCTCTTATCGTCTGTTACACATTTCTAGAATCGAAGCTCCCTAAGGTCAGAGACCTGTGCCTGTTTAGTCCAGGGGGGTCGGCCAAGCACCATGGATGAGCAGGCGCTCGGGGACTGCCGAGGGAACGAGGGAGCCAAGGACAGAAGGGACTTGCCGGTGTATGTGCCCCTCCCGGGCCCCATTCGGAAGTGCAGATGTTCTCTCCTGGGTCCCTGTGGTGCACAGGGTCTGTCCTCGCTAGGTCCTCCACACGTTTTCTGGCCTCTTGGAGAACCTGCCCCCCTCCCGCCGTGGCCCCGTCCCCCCGCCGAGAGTTGATCCATGGGTTTGCATCGGATGTTTTTTCCCCCTACAGCCCAGGCCCCATTCTTCATCCCGGTGCTAAACTCCTGGTGTTGCCCTGGAGTCTGGTGGTGCGGACTGGGGCCTGGACAGGGGCTCCTGAGAAGCGGGGCTCCGCGTGATGGGGACCGGGCCCAGAGCCCGACGTGAGGCTCGATCCCGCGACCCCGGGACCACGACCTGAGCCCAAATCGAGAGTCAGACGCTCAACCGAACGAGCGACCCAGGGGCCCCCACCTTTGGTGGTTTTTATTTGCTGCTGACTACTTAGAACGTCAGCGGCTGTTGGGGTTGTAAGTTGTCATGACCTTTCTGGAAAGCAGGTGGGGGATGCAGATCGGGACCCCCTTAACCACCCCCACGTGGTGTCTTTTCTTCTGGGCATCTGTCCTGGGGAAAGAGAAACTCAGACTTTGGCAGGAAGATGTTCATCATGGTGTTTTTGGGAAGCCGTCAAAAACGGCATTTTTACAATAGAACGTGTAAGGATTTGGGAAGATGCTGGTAATATACTAAGTCTGGAGGATGTAGGATTGCACCGCACCGGCAGCTGAGATTTGTGAGAAAGATCTGCAGAAAGGAAAACCTAGAGCTCTCTGCGGGCATTCGGGCCCAGCCCCCACCCTCCCTCGTAACTCTGGGGAATATATCTGTGTCTACATCCGCCTGTGTGTACGTAATTTCCTCTGGAAAAACTCGATGTAATTTTCCAGAGGAAAACGTACGGATGACGGAATTTGGATGCACGTATATGTACGGGCACATGTATATTTACATGGATGCACACACACACGTATGTGTCCGTGTGAGCGCTCGGAACTTTCACGTTTCAACTCGGGGTCAGCTGCAGGGAGTGTGGCTCGGGTCCTCGCTCTGCCCGTGGTGCCGTGTTTGCAGCTAGGACCCCCACCCCGCGGCGGGGCCCGTCTCTCCTCGCCCCACCCCACCCCACCCCCACCCTGAAGAGCAGGCTTGGCTCTAAATGAAGACTCTATCATCCGCCGTTCTTCTGGTTCGCCTTGTTCTCTGTCACTTGTGTGCCTTTTCTCCGGCTTCTGGCTTCTTTCCTTGTGACCCCCCTGCTCTACTCATCTGCCGGTGGCGGCCTAGCTTTTCGGGGAGTGTATGGTGGCGGAGGGGGCGTCGTCTCTGAGGGGCACGGACCTCTTAGTCCTCCCTGTAATGCAGAAGGAAAACTCCGCTTTGTGAACTGACTTTGTCCCGTTCTCCGGGCCCGTCTGTCACCGCCCCCCCAGGCGTGTCCTCTCCCGCCGGTCTGTCCCAGCCCTCAAAGCGCTCTTTGTTGCACGGTCACATCTCCCTATTTATGGCCTTCTGTGGTTGGCACGTGTGCTGGGAACCTTCTGGATCTGGGGGCTGCCTGTCTCCCACGTGCTCTCGCCTGCTTCCAGCTGGCCTGGCGACTCAGGGGTCTGGTGCTCGTCCTCGGGCAGGCGGGGCCTCGCGAGGAGGGCTTATAGGTGGGACAAGGAGGCGCTGTGGGGCCCCTGGCGATGGGCTGCACTTGGCCATCACAAAAGGACAGGAACAGCTGGTCGCCTTCTTGGGGGTGCCCCCTCGGGCTTTGCAGGGGCTCCCACAACAGTGGCATAGCTGTCCTTCCCGGGTGCCCCCTCCCATCTGAGGGCGAGTCCGTGGGAGTGGGCACTGGGGCTCCATGGAAACAAGCTCCCCACTGGGGGTGGGGAGTAGGACCCTTCCCTGAGCTGGGCGCTGGTGCCTGTGCAGCGGCCAGAGAAAATGTCCTTCTTCTGCTCCTCCTGCCTCAGAGACCCGGCCCCTGTTCTCAGTGTGCGTGTCCCCCTCCCCAGGGTGCTGCCAGGCCTGGAAGCGTCCGAGCCACCCCCTGCAGTCACCGAGGAGGCCCGACACCGGGAGGGGCCCTTGGCTCAGCGTCGGGCCGTGGGGAGCCTTCGGCGGTTCTGATCGGCCCGCAGGAAGGCTCCGGAAGAGATCGTGGCTGTCCCCTGTGGGGTTCATGGGCAACAGCAGGGGCTCCCCGGAGCGGCCGGGCCCGCCATGCTGCAGTGCAGGCCGGCCCAGGAGTTCAGCTTCGGCCCGCGGGCCCTGAAGGAGGCGCTGGTGTCCAGCGACCCCACCCTGCGGCGTCTCTACGCGTCTGCCTTCACCCCTGCGGAGAGGCTGTTCCTGGCCGAGGCCTACAACCCCCAGAGGACCCTCTTCTGCACGCTGCTCATCCACACGGCCTTCGACTGGCTCCTCAGCCGTCCCGAGGCCCCCGAGGACTTCCAGACCTTCCACGCCTCCCTGCCGCCCCGGAGGCAGAGCCCTGCCCGGAAGCACATCTACCTGCAGCCCATCGGTACGAGGTGGGGGGCCGTGTACCCTGGGGCGCCGGGCCCGCAGCGGGTGGGCATCGTGGAGCCAGCCGCACCCCGCCGGGGAGCCGGAGTCTGAGTCTCGCACAAGGCAGGGTGTCTGGGCTCCGGGCCTGGCAGGGAGGCCCCCGCTGGGACCGGGCTCTCCGCCTGCCCAGGTCAGACACAGCTCCGGAAGCCAGGGGCCGTGGGGCCTTTGCGGCGGCCGCGTCGCCCCTCCCCTGTTTCGCACAGGGTGTGCCGCCCCAGGCGCTGTGCCGGGGCCCTCCAGAGACTGTGTTCCTTCCAGCCTGCCTGCCCTGTGTCCGAGGCCGGGAAACCGGCCCCGGGAGGTCACCTGACCTGCCCCGGACGCCGCGCTGGCAATGGGCACAGGTGGGGTTTGAACGCAGGCTTAGTTGACCCCGAGGCCGTGCTGGGGAGGCCGGCTGGGCCTGGCGAGGGTAAGGGTTCTCCGCGAGGCCTGCTGGGCAAGGGCTGGGGCGGACGAGGGGCCTTGGCCGGCTGTCCACGCGGTGAGGGCAGAGAGGGTGGTGCCTGGCTTTGCAGAGGACCGACCACCAGGCCCGAGCAGAGCTGAGGGGGCCAGAGGCCTGCGGCCACCCTCGTTCTCCAACCCCTTGTGGCCCGTCCGCCGTCCCTGGCTCGAGCTGTGTCCAGCAAACAGCGCCCAAACCATCCGCTTCGTTCTGTCCCCTGCCAGCAGCTCACCGGGGCCTGCGAAACCCTCACGAGCAGACGCGTGGGCGCTTGTTAATGTGCGTTTTGGGGCCTGAGGTGGCCTGGGGCTCTGCGTTTCCAGCCAGACGCCCGCCCCGGGCCCCTGCAGCCGGCCCTCGCTCGGTGCGCGTCTGTCCTCCTGCAGCAGTCTGGTGTGGCTGCCCCCGGGGCGTCCTGCCCGCACGCCTCCCGTGTCCCGCTCTGCTCCTGCCATCCGGCCAGCCTCAGCCTCGGGGACTCTGGATGCCGGCCGGGGCCCCCCTGCCCCTCCCTGAGGGGCTCCCCACCTTCCAGACCTCTCTCATCGGGGCGTTGCCCTTTCTTGCGGCTTTCTCCTTTCCGTGAAGGCAGGTCCACGGTGGCCTCCTGCGCCCGGTGGCCGCGGCTGGTGGGGGGCGGGGCGCAGGCGGGTGGGGGCGGGGCGGCTGACGGGCCGTCCCGCCCCCAGATCTGAGCGAGGGCCCGGCGGGTGGCGCTCTGCTGGAGTACCTGCGCGACTGCACGGAGGCCTTCTTCCTGGGCTTGCAGGTCCGGTGCCTGCCCTCGGTGGCGGCCGCGTCCATACACTGCTCCTCGCGTCCCAGCCAGGACTCCGACAGGCTCCAGCTCCACACGGGTGGGTGATGGGCGCGGGCAGGGGAGGGCGCGGGCCCTTTCCACGAGGCAGAAGGCGGGAGGAAGGAATCCTCGCCCCGTTTCTTTGGGGGGGGGAACCTCTATTCCCCAGGCTTTTGAAGAGCAAGGCTAAAACCAGCCTCCTTCCCCGTCTGGAGGCCAGATGACCCTCCCAGCGTGCGCTGGAGACCCCAGGGCATGACGGGTGGGGGAGGCGAGCCCTTCTCGGGCGCCTGCCGCCTTGTAAGGCACCCCTGTAGACTTTTGTCCTGCACGTGTCCAGCCCCCACCAGCCCCCAGGTCACTGGCAGCTGGAGAGCGGCCGGGTCGCGGGGCACAGATGGGCCTTAGGCGCTCAGATGTGCGGGGCACCCGGACTCTGGTCTAGGGAGGCCCCAGGAGCAGGCAGGGCACTTTGGATGGCGCTGGGGCTGGAGGGCCCGGTGTCTCAGCAGTGGCGGGAAACCCCTCCGGCCCCTCCTCCGGCTCCACGCAGGGCCCCCCTGCTCCGCCTCTGTGCCTTTTCTCTCCTTGGGCTGTGAAGCCCGTACATCGAGTTCCTAATTTTAGTTCTCCCCTTTCCATTTCTGTGTTTCTGGTGGGTTCTTTCTCAAATCGGCAATATATATTTTTTTAACATTTCTTATTTTTATTTTTTGAGAGAACAGGTGCGCACCAGTGGGGGAGGGGCAGAGAGAGGGGGACAGAGGATCTGAAGTGGGCTCTACACTGACAGGCTGCCCACGCCGAGCCCCACGCGGGGCTCGAACTCACGAACCGTGAGATCATGACCTGAGCCGACGTCAGACGCTCAACCGAGGGAGCCACCCAGGTGCCCCCAGCAGTATCACTTCTTAAAAATACCAGTTTCCCGCTAAGATTTAAGTTCAGTATGGATAGCCACAAACACAGGTGCTTTTCGGTTCCGCCGTCTGGCGCGTGCTGGTGGCCTCCTCGTGGTCTTTCCGTTCATTCTGTCTTGGTATTTTTTCTCGTTAGCTGGACATACTACTTGGAAACTTAGTTTACCTTTTTGGAGATCTAGTGGCCTGGGGTGATGTGATTCGTGCTGGGTTCGTGCTGGGGGCGGGGCTCTGCTTTTCCTCTGCCAGGCCCCTGTGAGTACACAGCTTTTCTGGGCCGTCCGTGGTCCTGGGAGCGGGGTCTGCAACCCTCCCTCATCTCTGAAGGGGCCCAGTCTTAGCTAGTCTGCTTCAGTTCGGTCCTTGGATCTAAGTTCTCATCAGGTTTCGGATTTTTTTTTTTTTTAAATCTTGTTTACTGAGGCAAAATTCACATGCACTGACATTCTCCGTTTTGCGTGTAATGGTCCTGTGAGCCTGGACGGGCACCCCCGTGACCCAGTTGCCATTGTCATCAGACTTAGCTTGTTTCGCCTCCCAAGACGCGCTTGGTCCCCTGTGGCCAACTCCGCTCCCACCTCGGATGCTTTAAGAAGCTGTGTTTTGTATTTCACTCAGCTTATCTGGTTTATCTTCGGCGGGAGGGCTGGTCTCAATCCCCAGCGCGTGTGACAGGAGCTGCTGGCACTGAGTTTTCAGGGTTGACAGGGAGCTCTTGGCTGGGACAGGTGTCATTCTAATGGTAGCATGTCCCTTTCTGTGTCCCAGGCTGCAAGTTTGTCACTCTGAGACGTTCTCCTGGCCATGGACCTTCCTGGCCCTGCCTTTGTCCCCTGCCCTCAGGACACTGTCCTGCTGCAGGCGTGCTCCCCGAGCCCTGTGTCTCTGTCGACCCACCACAGCACCTTCACACCTCTCTGACCCTCTGCCTCTTCTTTCTGGGGACCCTAATGATTGCACTGAGCCCTGTGGCTCCTCTGTCCCCACAGACGGGATCCTGTCTTTCCTGAAGAGCAGCAAGCCGGGCGACGCGCTGTGCGTGCTGGGCCTCACGCTGTCTGACCTGTACCCCTGCGAGGCCTGGAGCTTCACGTTCGGCAAGTTCCTGCCAGGGCACGGTGAGCCTCCGCCCCGGCAGCCCCCGCCTCGGCCGAGCTTGCGGGGCCCGTCCCGGGGAAGACGATGCGAGCACGCGGACGGAAACCGCTGCCCTCAAACGTGCGGCCGTGCCCTTCCTGCTCAGCCCTGGGCTGCGGCCGGGGGGCCGGCCTGCAGGAGCCGTGCGTCCTGAGGGGTGGGGTGGGGGGGGCTCTGCTCCTGCGCCCCCCGGGTGAGGTGACCCGTGAGCCTGTGTGTCTCCACCTCTCCCCAGAAGTGGGCGTTTGCAGCTTTGCCCGTTTCTCGGGGGAGCTCCTGCAGCCGGGGCCTGGCGCCTCGGAGGCAGCCCCGGTCCAGGCGGCAGCCGACGGCCCTGAGACACCAGTGCAGGACCCAGGCCAGACACTGTGCTTCAGCGCCCTGGGGCTGGCCCAGTGCTGCAAGGTGGGCGTGGAGGCCAGGGTGTGGGGGTCACCGCACAGGTGGAGGGAGGAAGTGGGCAGAAGCACTGGGGGCTCTGGCCAGTTCGGGGAATGTGCCAAGGATGTGCGATCAGACACGGGGGTGTGAGCAGGCAGCCGCTGAGTCCCCTGTCCCGCCCTCACCGGGACCACCCTGCTTCCCTGTAGAGAGCGTAGGAACGAAGGCCGAGCTGCCAAGACCTTTGCCTAAGGTCACTCGGCTGGGCAGCGGCAGAGATTCGAACCCGTGTCTGTCTAATGCCCCAGGGCCATCCGTCTGTGCCCCGTGCTGTCAGGACCGGGACGCGGAGGGCTGATGGACCGCTTCCCGGTGGCCTAGGCCCCTCTGGGGCGTCCCGGGGATCGGCTGTAAGGTCAGTGGCGGGCCTTCCCCCGCAGGTCACCTGCCACGAGCTCTGTCACCTGCTGGGTCTGGGGAGCTGCCGCTGGCTGGGCTGCATCATGCAGGGGGCGCTCAGCCTGGAGGAGGCCCTGCGGCGGCCCCTGGACCTCTGTCCCATATGTCTGCGGAAGCTGCAGCACATCCTGGGCTTCAAGCTCATCGACAGGTACAAGGTGAGCGGCTCTGAGGGGGGGGCCCCCCGGGCAGGGACCGCAGCAGGCCAGCGCCTGGTCTGGGGCCCGGCGCGGGAGTCCGAGAGCAGAGGATAGTTGGGTCCCGGCCGGGTGTGAGAACCCCAGGGGAGCAGACAGACCCGCGTGCCTGCCGGTCGGCACTTTCCTGCTCTGCTGGGCAGCGTGTGGCGCCCGAGCCTGGCCCGCGGCGCGCACCCAGCAACGGTGGCCGTGGCCGTCGGGGCGCAGGGGGGACAAAGGGTGGACGGCTCTTCTCAGGCAAAGATGGCAAATACCCGCTCTGAACGGTGGGTGGGTGCTGGGCGCGCCCACCACGCCACCCTTGCGTCGGCCGGGGCCGCTGGCTCCGGTGGTTGGGGTCCGCGCGGGAGGAGACCCGAG